ATTTAAAGCCTTGGTTCTTGACTCCATATATTTGATATAAAGTCTGAATTGAATTTTCCCAAAAATATCAAAAATGCAGAATTCTCATTGATTATGTTGTTTCATTACTGCATTTTATAGGTTCGTGATATAGAAATAGGAACATAGGTTTAGCAAGAGTTAACTACTCAGTTACAGATAGCAGTGGTCTCCCCAGCATTAAAGCAAGTGGGCGCATCACCCACCTGAGACTTTAAAAATAGGCTTACACCCACCTGAAAATCCATGTGCACCCACTTGAAAATGAGAAAAATCATGAAAAAGTGGCATATTTTGACCAATTTTGGTCTGAATTGTGGAAATGAGAATTTTGCACCCACCAGAGAATAAATCCTGGGGAGATCACTGGATAGGTTTATACAGAACGTGCAGTAGTCTTTTCAATGAGGCGACATATAGTAGAGCACCACCTATTTATAATGAAAATATTCTTTTATAATGATAATTCATTTTATTATGTTACCACCACAAGTGGTGAAATATTGTTAATGTCTCCGATTTTTTCTGGATGGTGTTTGGTGTTTAATAGTCAGTGTTCAGTAGTTGGTGTTTGGCATCTGTAACAAATGTCAGGTGGTGACATTTTACATGTTAATGCCTTGTCTAGTCTTTACCGAATTTTTCTCCAGAATCTTGGATATTCCAGAGATATGTAGCTTATTACATTGATATGACTAGGAAGTAAAAGGCATGTATCTTTCTTAGCAACATCCAGGACATCTAGGGACTATCAGATCAACAAAAATATGTCATCAACCACTTTGTGTTTTAAACACTTGGTGTTATCTGACAAAATATTTTTTCTACTAACCATGTTAACTTAAACTCTACAGCTTGGTGTCTTATATGATCATGATTGATTACGCCTCCTGGATAAATACAATTAACTAAACGTTTTTTCAATGTTTATGTACTCCATTCAGTTTTTCATTACTGCATTATCACAACTTTCACAATTGTTTGATAGACTGTTTTCTGTCATGAATTGTTTCAAATAGAACGCAGAGTCTGTTATTTGAAAATAAGCTCCAAACCCTCTATATGTCCCATCCGTATAATGGTCCACCCTTACGTCTAATTGATGAGAAATCACTGAAATTGTCTCATCCCCATACTTCAGTTAGTGATAATAGATCTTATAGGTAATTCAATTGTTTGCTTTGTTAATACATCTATAAGGTTATTGTATCGATTAGATGCCTCTGCTGGGAAATGTTACCATATTCTCAGCTTATATTTGCGAATTCAACTAATGCCTGTCAGCTAAGTGGATTAACCTACTCTTTTATGGACAACTCATTTAAATATGAATAGTACCTGCCACTATTCCATTTATATTTAAATAAGTTGGTCATAAAATTGTAGGTTAATCTGGTAACCGACAGGCGTTAGTTGCATTCGCGAATATAAGCTTAAGTTTCTGCAGTTTTTTCCATCATAGTTTTTTGTGATTTTCTTCCATTTCTGTTCAATTCAAAGCGACCCATTATGTCTGTTTATAGTATACTGCTTGCCAAGTCAACTCTTCGTTTCTACATTTAGTATTTAAAATATGAACCACATTGGATTAATCGGCAAATATTCTTGTCAATCGATACACAGTATTTTTGTAATAACCAGATCTCACCTCATGACATTTGATATTTCAAATAATGAGGTTACAATACTGCTTCCAATCGGCTAAGATCACTGGCTGAGTTCAATACATATTAGGAACGGTGTTTCATTATAAACAGTGAAAGAATAAAGTTAATTTTGTTGGGGGAGGGGTGTAAATGATGATCACATCACGTGAAAGACAAATTATCATTTTAAAATCGTTCTATGAGGATATTTTGGCGGCAAACCTGAACAAAATTAATCTCACTTTTCCTGAACTGTTCATATTTTGACACCAGCAGCTAGATGCTATTTGGTATCAATAAGTCAATTGTTTTTTTGCTGGTTATGATTTTTATCATTACATTTATAAGCCTAAATATCCCTGAAAGGCATAACTCTCAGAGACTGTTTTCTTTGAATCATCAATTTGTTAATCAACATTATGTGGTGTCTTCATATACTTCACAGTTTGTGATGTTGGGAAGGTAGGTAGCATGTAGATATATTGATATAGTATTCCATGTATGTTTGTTTTATGAAGAATTGATTATCTATTTATGCTTTTTGTTTACCAGAACAGCTAATATGTATATAGATGCCCATATCCATACATGGAAGAAATATAATATGACCTAAAAGCATATCAACTTAATAGTACTTTGGTACCCATTCAGGCCAATAGTACTTTGGTATGTACCCATTCAGGCCAATAGGTTGCACTAATCGAGCAGTTGGTCCTGTTTCATAATTGCATGTCACAATATGCATTATTTATTATTTGCTATGAAAAATAAAACAAATCTAACCTGCTTCATTTTTTATACTCGTAAGTCTACCACTCTATCAGTATCACCACGTTTGTATATTGTGAGACTGCATAAAGTAGACCTTTTTGATCATTACTAGGCCTTTTAAGGCCTTATTCATTAATTTAAGGCCAACTTTTTAAAAAATTGGGCCTCAAATTTTCAAAATTTGGCCCCACTTTTTGGTTATAGGGGCCCAAAAACATTATTCATGCAAGCTCGGAATTTTTTTTTAATAACTGTAATCCCCCTTTATTGGTTCCCATATCCACCCTGTAATGTGTATTTGTGATCAGTAAGCATGGGAAATTTTTAACTATTTTATCTAAAGCAGATATAGCAAGTAAATATTATATCTGAATCCTTACTCATACTCAATCAACTGATACGATCCAAACAATAAATACATAATTGATGTATTTTTATTTATTTTTTAAGAGACATGTTAATCAGTGAGAAGACTGTACATATTGAACGTGTGACACAGCCTGCCAAGATTTAATACACCTCACCAGACTTTCATTGTTTTTATTGATGCTTCAAATAAAAGACAAATCAATCTCATGACACCTTATACTTAGTGTACCCTAGCTTATAGATTTCCTCTCCCTCTTCAGTAATTTATACCCTTCATAATCAACATGTTCCTGTAGTTATTGACAATTTTTGTCACGCCAGATGTAGTGTTGCCCTGACTCATTCTGATGCTTGTTCATCCCATGTTCTGCTTGTTGTGTTTCTAAAAGCAAATGAATAATAGATGAATTGCATGTATTTACAACAGAATTGGTGTACTGTATTAACTAATTAACTCCATGTTTGTCTGTTTTATTTTTGTTTCTCCCATGCTTTCCTTTATAAATGAATGAATTCATCACACATATGAGGTGGTCTATTTAGAATGGCGTTCCTAAGCAGACATTTTATTGTACTTATTTTTTGTTCGATGTTCACATATACAGTATAGGTTTTACTGTACATGATTAATGTTTCACACATAGCTAGGCAAGGTGTGTCCGCTTCCAGCCAATCCGAATGCAGTATTTCCCATATAGTACAGTGTGTGAAATATCAATAACACATGCAAGGTCACTGGTTAAACAGTTATCATGGTGATGAATGGACTTTTCACATTAGATTTGATGACTTGCCAACTTGATCGTTCTTTTAGTGATTTTGTTCCTTTTGGCTGATTTTGTAGAAAAAATTAGAATGTGTGAAAAGAATTTAAGTCCAAGACTCAATGTATTGTAGCTGCTTCATTCCACTCAGGCGTTGTTTCCTAAACTTTGCATTCCCGCTGTGCGGTCATGCAAAGGTTTGGAAACAACACCTTCATGGTATGATTCAGAAAACAAGGGCTTAAATCCTTAATGTATGGTTTACCGTACGTTTGATGTTCCCATATAGGTTTTACTGTACAGGTTTTATGGTTTACTGTATTGATTGATTTTCAAATATATTTGTTTTACTGTATAACTTTTATAGTATACTCTATTAATCAAGATATATTATACTAGCATGTTGGGTAAATGGCTTAAGGGAGATAAGTGCTTCATATTATCATCCCTAATGTTGAATATCTAAGTTCCATTTATACCCATTTGATAGATTAAGATATATCCTTAATCAGATTCTTTTTAGTCCTTTGGGTATAGTTTCCTATGAGCTATTTCTGTATGCAACATCATACTTTAATATGCTACCCATGTAGAACAGGTCTTTGAGCAACAATATCATGCTGTTATTTATTCATAACAAGATGTTATTACATGTTTCTTGAAATCTCTTGTGGAATATAATGGAGGATTAGTTGCCAGTAGGGACATTAAATCACTGGTGATGTAGATATTATTGAATTTATGCTCTAAGTTATGCCAGAAGGATAGAGCTATAATAGATTGCTATTTTTCATAGATTTTTACTGCCCTCAGGGTTCATTTGATTTTGTCGTTTTGAATTCATGTTCTCTTGTTCTGTGTTCATGGTGACATAATTTTTCGAGAGTATAACTCATCAAATTATTAAAACTTCTCCAAAATCTTAACTTAGTACACATTCTTCCAATTCTCAATAGTGTACAACACTCTAGATTGGCTTAAATGCTGGGAAGATTAGTCTGACAACCCTCACTTTCAAAGACTGGACTACTAATATCGTACTTTGTTTTTATGTCATGACCACTAGAAATATTGTTATGGTCTCTGTTTCTGTGATTGTGGTTGGCGATTGACGTCTAAAACAATGGTGGTGATATTTTGCATGTTAATGCCTTGTTTGTTGATGGTGTTTGGTGGTTGGTGTTCGGCATTCAGTGGTTATCAAATGACAGGTAGTGACATTTTGCATGTTAATACCTTGTATGATATTGGTATTGCTCTATATTTTGAGATATCTCAAAGAAAACTGGAGCACTGTCATTGATATTGCACTTTGTTTTGTAATATTAGCATTATTCTTTTCAGATATTGTTATCAAGAATGATATTTCACTTTGTTTACAAAATATTTATGTTGCGCTTTTCATAATATGGTTATTGCTATATATTTCCAGATGTCGCAACAAAGACTGGTCCTCTGACCTTCCAGATACAAGTGTCATCATCACATATCACAATGAGGCACGCTCAACTCTTCTACGCACGATTGTCAGGTATATATTACCCATAATCCTTTTGCTTACCTGGTAATGTTCCTCTTTTGAAGTTATAATTTTGAAGTGTTTTTTTTGAGTTTGTAATTGCAGTAATAATTTCTAATATCTGAATTCTATTTGAATTTTATTTCAATACTATACATAAAAATTTGAATATCAGAATAGCCCATTTATAAGAAGTATATTATTTATTACCTAAACTTTAATGAAGAAACATTGAAGAATAGAAAGAGTAATTGGAACTTAATAGAGTCAATCTTAAAACCCTGAAATTGGTTTTATGTGTTTACATAAAATATTGAAATAAATGTGTTTTGTGAAAAGATCAATAAAGAAAATTAAGATAAATTGAAGGGACAATCTTACGGATCTGCTTATAATCAAAATATATGCATCATTGACATATCATGATGTGTTATCTTATTTGTCTTTATCATGCAAATTTCCATCTACATCATTCACAAAATCTACATGTTGCCATTGATTTTGTGCCATTTTGTGAAATCCGGTTGCATTTTATCTGTAAAATTACTGTCTTTGTTATCAATATCTTTTTATGCCTGAGTTCACACTTTCCACCAAGTTATGAAATTGTATATTCTGGAGTTTTCTTGGTTGATAAATATTTACTATTTGGAATGTAATTTCAGGATCGTTAACCCATATTTTGAAAGTACTTCTGTGTAAGCCTCTTAGAATGGAGAGCATAAGATGCAAAACCAATACATTCTGTTTTAGAGTGCTTATATCCAGGGTTTCTGATGTGTTACAAATACAGTTTGGGAAATCTTACTTTAATTAATGGACAACCCATCGTGAAAATTAACATTGCAAGGGAATACAAATTAATATGAACCTTGTGTCTATGCACTCTTTTGCCTTCTCTAAATGCATTCTCTTATGTTCTATACATTTCTGATCTTTTTACATCAACATTAAGAATAGTATCTGCAACTTAATAAACCCTGGGCTCCTTTTGTTTATGCACATAATGAGATAACATAACAATATATGAATGCATCCTGTGTCATTCTTTATAATCCCATAATAACATGTTTTCGTGAGGAATAAACAATATATTTTCCCTGGTCAAGATCATATTTTCACTCAGAATAAAATTCATATTCCATCCCTCCCATTAGATAACCTCTATTTATACTGAAAGCTGCTTTTACTCCCCATGATCATTGTATTGGTGCAAGTTAATTGTTTGTATTTAATTTTGATACATAATACATATAGAGCGCATGCATAGTAACCTTAGAAGAGACAAGTCAGAACCAGATGCCTTACATGTTAGTACTCTTAGAACTTAAGTTTGAGCTCTTCTGACAAAGTTGTTTATTTTGAATTTTTATTTTTCTGCTTGATTTTCAAAAACAGGCTTATTTCCTTAATGCTTTTGTTTCCAGATTGTAAAATGTCATAATCAAAGCTTACATGCTGGTTTTCATGTAAGGTGGCATAATAAACATATCTGGATTTGATTATCATTGCATTTTAAGAACAACAACAGCGGAATAAAATACTTTTGAAGTAGATATGGAAAATGTCACTTTTTACAGTCACTTTGAAAGCACAGTGTTGTTTCAAATTCAGTTTAAGAACAATGCATAATTAGTAAGTCTAAGTTCAGAGTACATATGGATGTATCATACCTTAATATGCCTGTATATATGTTTTTTTACAATGATTTTTGAAATGCTTGTTTCCATGGGAACTAATCACAGATTATATAGATATTTAAGAAAAATCATGAAACGAACCAGTTGACATGACACTTGACCTGGTATTGTAGCACAAATATTTTCCAAACATTCTTCTTTTCAAATCTATGTATACAGCAACAGTAAACTTTATTTCTTATTCGACGACTGTATTCACGCCTTCTATAAACTGTGAACAAAGTCAATATTTCACACAGGTTATATTCGCGAACAATACCCCTGGTAATTATAATACCTTTAATGTGTGACGTCAAAATGAATATTCATAACATTCTGGTGAGTTTTCATGTTCAAATAGTAAAATAGACCTCAGAGCAGGTGTAATATAGTTGAATACACCCCGCAGGGCTTGGCAGAAAAGCTTTCGAACCCCATACTTCCTTCAGTTGTTCGGGGTACAGAAAACGTTTGTGCCTAGCCCTGCGGGTGTATTCACAATATTACCCCTGCTCTTCAGTCTATATTTCTTAACTAATGTATAAAACTCCATACTATTACTCCATAATCAAATTATAGCTTACTCTGGGGAAAACGCAAAACTAGGTAAATTGAGCCTGATAGTACATAAAGAATATACCTTTGCTTTCATTTTTGACAGTCTAATTCGGAAAAAGCATATTAAGTATGTATCATCCATTCCCCTTGTCTTTGGTCACACCAATCAAGCCAATGTTCTCTTGAGCTCAATGCTATATTGGGATTAAAGAATTAAACATGACTTAATCTTTCTAGAAATATAATTGCCAATAAAAGGTATTCATTGTTCATGCGGCTCCCAATTTAGGTATCATAGGCTTTGGACATTCAATTCTGAAAAGAAGTAAAAAGAAAAGAGAAAATATGGAGCTTTCATTAAAAATATTTCGTGATATATTTTGTTGAATTCATAACTTAAATATGTTTCATCAGTGACTGTTTGGATTTTTATTTTTTTGTAACAAATGAATTAAATGATTATGAAGAAATATAACAATTGTTGCCCAATAAGATTTTCTTGATATTCCTGTTTTTCTAAAATGAAGGTTCTTAATGTCATTTGGCGAAGAGTTTAACAAAATGCTCCTTTTAATTTTTATAAGGCAAATAAATTCCTTAATCAAACTAACACAATCAAACCATTAAAGATCAATATCACATTATAAAATACAGTATTTCATTTTCTATAATGGGTGATCTTATTACTGCAATTTGTTGTGTTAGTTCAATTTCTTTTCATGAGACTATAATAAAAATATTAACTTATTGATCCGAGGTAGCATTGATCATCGTAAATAGTTGAAAGCCTTTTGTAAATCACATTTTGAATGATTTTTGATAACTGATTCTTTTTCCATCTGTTCAGCTCATGGGTCGTAATAAGCGTAATAGGCATAGAGTCTAAGCCTCATTTTGAGGTGCATGATTTTGCTTCTTCTGCATGTAAACTAATAATATTTAATTTACATGTTGGAAATTGTTTCTTGATCTTGAAAATTTCAATAAGAATGGTTGCTCCATTCTAAATCTAGAATAAAAACATGACTGCCCAGTGTATCTGTCCAGGGTATTATCAAATAGGCAATTAGGAACTCTTTCCAATAGTGTGATATCTCTGGATATTGCTTCTTCAAAAGAGACCTACATTTACCTAATTACAATGCACCCAGTTAAAAGAAGATGCTCTGTCTCAATTTAACCTTAATTTCACCTTTGTTTTACCTCTCGAGGCATGTTTGCGAAGATTTCTAATCTGATAATGGAGAGTTTGTAAACATACAGATACGTCTTCATTTACGAGACTCCGTAAAATTGTTGTGAACATAATGAAGAGTGGGTGTAGGTTGATCATCATTGAATATTTTCTTCATGCTAGATGATGTCATTTGTTTTCATTACTGAATAATGGGTTTATATTATGGAGTTCCTAAATACTGTACATGCATATATTTTAAGGTTGATTTATTTGTGCAAAATATTTCGTTTAATATTGGTTTACTTGTAAAATGGGGTTTATGTTATTTTATTTTTAAATGTTGCCATTTGTGCTTTTTATTATCCTTACATATATGAAATTGAGAAAAATTAAACAATTGTTCACTAAATATATTTTTATTTAATGTATTTGCAGTGTACTTAACAGAAGTCCCGAACATCTTATCAAAGAAATTATATTAGTAGACGATTTTAGTGACTTCCGTAAGTATTTTTTTTTTCAACTAAATAATTAAGATCAGAATTCTTTTTTTTTCCTGGTATACATTCCTCATTTTAACTATTCTCACTAAAAATATAAAAAAAAATTGTAAAAATATCTATAATTCACAATGATTATCTCCTTATTATAATGGAATACATTAAATGCTGGGCAGATGACACATTATATATAATATCTTAAGTTCTTATCTCATGTAATTAAAAGATTTATGATATAATACTTATACCATTGTATACAAGTAGAAGTTATAGTAACATGCCATATACATGAATATGTTTTACATTTACTTTGCAGCTGAAGATGGCTTAGAATTAGCTAAAATACAAAAAGTGAGAATCCTTAGAAATGATAAAAGACAAGGTATGTTTCTTTATAAGTTTATCTAATTTTAGAAAATGTTCAGATATTGTTATAGCATTTCATTATGGAACAATTTAGTTTGAAATGTCAGACTGCCTCCTTTGATAATAGACTTATGTAAAGACATGTGTAATTATTTGTGAATTGTATCAATACAAATTAGACAAATTTGATTTTCCTATACAGTAAAACCTGTTTAAGTAGAACACACTGTAAATTGTGTTTCAACCATTCCAAGCATTTGCTGTTCAATCATTCAGTCAGTTCAATGATTCATTTCAAGCATTTCAATGTCACTGTCTGCTGTTTTTGGTGATATCATCCTCATCCAAAATGGCCTCTAAAATGGTCATGTTCAAGGGCAATTTGATCATAAATACTTAATTGTAGAGAAGACAAGCAAAGGAGCACTTAGGTTATCGCAAACAATTTCAGAAGGTTATATCTTGGATTATGGCTATTTTCTGACAATGAAGACAGGTTTATCTTTTAGATCAATTCATTATCTCAAAGAAAACTATATACAGTAATAATTAAGTCAAACAAACTTGGAGATATTTAACTAGCAATCAACCCATCAACACACTTTTCAAAGATGTTGACCCCATTTTCACCAAAAATTCAATCATTTTTTACAATGTTTAATGCATTACTATCCTCTATTTTGATGTATCAAACAGTTCTTGAAAGGAAAACTTAATTGCTTTAAGATAAGTGTTCCCCATGTTATTTCTCCATTGAAAAATCTCATGCTATCCATTGGTTTCAGTTCATTTTGGTCATCCAAATGCAGTATCTTTAAAGTCCCTGGAGCAATCAACTTTTCCTATTAGGAAATCGAACATGTCTCAAAGCACATTCTAATTATGCATTCAACAACATAATAAAAGGTTGCAAGAAAAACAAACAAAGGTTCACAGTTCATGCATTTCCCAAGCTTTTCAACCATTTCAATGGATACTCCTTGGAAAATGAAATTGCAGTTTCGCCGTTTGCACAGTTATTCCTTATTGAACCTTTACATAAGGATTATGCACTGGGGGTTTTGGATACAGGGTCCATCCATCGGGAAATATGTGTATCTCCAAACTGACCACAGGGACCTGCATTTAAACTTTTCATTGAACATGTTAACTTCATATTGCAGGATTGATGAGGTCCCGAGTTAAGGGGGCAGATGCAGCTACTGGGGAGGTGCTTACATTCCTTGATAGTCATTGTGAATGTAATCAAAACTGGTTAGAACCTCTTCTCCTGAGAATTAAAGAGGTAAGTGCTATGTTTGGAACCTTGTGTGTTAATGTACAAGGTTCTCACCAGATTTTTCGTGGCATGACTACTATCCCTTGAATTAACCTGTCCGCAATCATATGACCTTTGACATCTCAAACTTCGAGACATTTGAAGTCTCCTGTCTATTTATTTTCCAAAATAAACATTTCTAAGGGGCGGGGTCAAAATATCTATGTTCATATGGAGACGAAAGTACTTTCGCGAGGGGGGAGGGGTTTTTTGGGCACTTTCGTTGACCAAAAAAACATCGATAATTCGGATCTGCTATACAAAAAATAATTGGACTTACCCACTTTTTCTGGGGCTATGTTCTGATAAAAAGGCTTGTTTTCAATAGTTCGTGAGCTTTTTTGTGTGATAGGTCCAAAATATCGGTAGATAAAGACGATAATTCGATCATTTTTCAAATAAATTCCGTACTTTTCCCTCCTCCTTTTGAAGAGTTCAATGCAGTTAAATTGCGAATGTGTGTTAATTCACCGTAATAATAACCCGGCAAATAGGATACGATTAAATCATTTGACAGTCACTGAAAATCAATGTTTTTTTGAAGTGACCTAAGCTTTGGTCTAGAGGGGGGGGGGGGGTTGTTGTCCAAACGAAATTACTTTCGTCTCCATATGAACATTGATATTTTGACCCCGCCCCTAAATGGTATTTGACTCACTGTTTTTTTGCTTTTTTTATTTTCTAGGCAATTTAGACTATTGTTGAGTGTGATAATTATCAGTAGAATTAAGAATTAAAAAGGATGAAATAGAAGAAATCTTAACATAGAAAAGCATTTATACAATCAATGAAATAGAAATACTAGAATCTAAATCAGACAGTTAAGCCATATTGATAGAGAAAATGGTAAGAATAGCCAACACCACTATGACATATTTCTTGAGCATGAATACAATGACATTCTTCCTGGGCACTATCACCATGACTTTTTTCATTAGGATAATCACTGTGACATTTTACATAATGGTAGGCTTTGTTACGTCAATTTGACATTTAAACAGATAAGCAGAGCAAATATTACTATTCTCTCAATTAAACAAAGACATAAGCAGGGATAAATAAGCTTAGAAACCTATGTATAGGATATGGGGTCACTAGTTTATGATTGAAGATGGTATATCTCTACATTCAAGAAACGACAAAGGCATTAAAGGAAAAACTTGACTCGGCATACCTCATAATAAAGAATGAGGGTGTAGAAAATATATTAAACTAATGCCGCAATTATATCATCAAAATTGTACGAAGTTTATAAATTTAGATACAGTACTCTGCATTAATCAAACAATGAGGAACTTATTTTTGCTCTTCATAATTATTTGGTCTTATAAGAAAAATAATACAATAGCTTTTTGTTGTTTGTTCATATGGTGAGTCCATCCGTCCTCCTGTCCATCTTTCAATTATTTTGTGTACAAAATAAAAACTCCCATTCAGCTGAACTCATGCTTATATCCATTTTCTCAAGGTCACTGGTGCATTAATTTACACCATTAGTCTTGGCTCCTCCTCTTGCCTCATTTTTGAAAACAATCAGCTTTTTCACCATGTAAGCCAACCGATTGACGCTGTTTTTGGTATTAGCAACAAAATAGCATATATTTTACATGTTAATTTACACAATCTAATCCCTTGTATTATATGAAGTAACTTATATATTGGCATTCTCCAAGACTACCAGACCATGACTTGGTTAATGAATAGACTCTTAATCCATTAAACAATAAATTAATTGATTAAAGCAGGATATTCATCAGAGTGTGACCATATTCAAAGCTATAAGTAATTCTGAGAGGTTATATGCAATTAATGGTTTACATGTCACCTTGCTTTTCCATTAAATTCCCATGTACACATGATCTTGCTTTTCCATTAAATTCCCATGTAAAAGTACTTATAATGACATATAGAGGTTATTTAATGGGAGGTTTTTGATACAGGATATATCTGAGGGAAATACAATATATCAACCCAAGGGACTGAGGGTTGATATATTGTATTTACCAAGGGATATACCCTGTATCAAAAATCAAGCATTTAATAACTGATTTATTCTATACTTAGTAGATTATGAAGGTTTAAAGTCAAGTCCTATGGCTCAGTACATGTATCTACTCTCCGAATTTGTGATGTCGTAGATCTGATGAGCGGGTGATATATATATATCTCCCGCTCACTTCAGATATCAATATTATATTACTGCATGTTATTTACCTATAACACTACTAAGTATGGAATAAGCATGCACATATCTTAATGATTTAGTGTTATTCTTAAAAAGATATTGCTAATTTTGTTTTTCATTCATATGTTCTTTGCATTAAATTAATTCATTATATTTATCGAAGCGTCATTACTTGATAAACATTTGACAAATTGGATAATTGATTCATGATATATCGTTATTATAATAAGTTAATTGTTTTGTAACTGTCCATTAACCTTTACCGTGTTGTGATTTAGTAGTTATTATTCTCTATACTAACAATCTACCAGTAAATCAGTGTTCTCCAATAAGCTTGCGTACATGCAATGAATTTTTCTTTAATTTCAAAAAGTGATTTCCAACACACAAATATGATTTTCACATTAATTCTAATATGATATATGTATTCATACTGCAAAATTGATTAATGGTGGTTTTGTCAGTCCATTGCATGAATTAAAATCTACGATGATGTGAAAATATCCATCTCGAAATTGTTTAGATTTCCTATAGTTGCCTTACTTCATTAAATATTTGAACCTGTATTTTTGGCCTTATATTCTCTAAACTTTTTTTTTAATCTCGGTCATGTTAATAAATCAATCAAATGTCAAATAAGCCTCAACATAGGAAAACCAGTCCTATCACAAAAATGTGCCCAAGATTAAGTTCAAAATGTGCTTAATTCAAATATTTCTTTTTTCCTGCAAGGAAAAATTGTTAAGACGTAAGTCATGGCTTATTTGAAATGTCTCTTTGTGCTTTTTAAGATAATCAAATAATCAAAATATTGAAAAAATCTGTGTTGCAGGCTCAAATATTTCTTGGTGCAAATTAAAGAAATTTTGACTTGAAGTCTGTTTAATCCTCATACAGGGTGGTCAAAAAATGGCAACCCTAGTTTTTTCTAATATCTTTGTCATTCTAAGAAATAACTCCCTGATATTTTACACATTTGTACATCATTCCATTTCCTACCAACCTATCATATTTCATGACCATCGGACTGATAGTCACAATATTACTGCATTTTAAACAACATGCCCCAAATGGCCACTTTCGGGCTGTTAGAGCTGATATTCAAATGAATTCCATTTCCAACTTGATGCACTGGTAAACTCTAACAATTATGTATTCTTGGGGAGCCAAGCACTTGATGAAGTAGTGGAGAGGCACCTTCACACAGACAGATGCATAGTTTAGTGTGTTCTCAGAAGATAGGGTCCTTTACCTTTGATGATATCAACGGATGTGCAATAACTGTCAACATGTACATGTGTGCCAAATATCAGGGCAAAATTTCTAAAAATAACTAAAATATGAGGAAAAATTAGGGTTGCCGTATTTTTTTGACCACCCTGTAAATAGCATTCTTTGTGTCTTATATTGTATATTGTATCTTATATTGCATTTTAAAACATGGCAGCCATCGTATATATTTATTATTGTGTTTATATTTTACAGGACAGAACCAGAGTTGTGAGTCCCATCATAGATGTAATAAACATGGATAACTTCCAATATGTTGGAGCTTCCTCAGATTTAAAAGGAGGTATGTTTTTGTCTACATAACATCAATTTATATTACTATTGTTTACATATTGTTGGCTGGGGAAGATATTTAAGATTCCATGTTTTACTCTTAGAGTAAGTATTCACACTGTTAATAGTACACATAGATTTCTGTTATGACTTGAAATAGTAAATATGAAAATTTTATTTAGCAATTTTTGTCTGTTGATAATTTTCCCCCAGGAACCCCCTTGAGAAAATTATTTGAGCGAGCGAACTGTTTATTTCAGGCTAAAACTTGTTCCATTGTTTTGTTTCAACTTTTTATTCAAATCATTTTTCAAGTATAAGTAGAAACTTCGCAAGTTATCTCGCAAGTTATTATAATTTATTTAAAAACAGCTGAAAATCATACGTATCAGACCTGTTTTAAGAGTATTTGGATTTCAATCACAGATGCAACAAAGTTCTACATATTTTATGAGTTCTCCCCTACTACTTATTATATAATTGGGAGGTGTATGCCAAGTTGAAAAGGCCAAGAATGTCTAGAAATATTACGTTGAATTAAAACATAGAAAAGCGCTTCTATTTATTTTGGCACACAGGTTAGTGAAATAATTACTAAAAATTATTTAGAAATGAAGAATTCTTCTGAGTAACTCATAAAAGTAACAAATTGTTTTTCCAAAGTATTGACATCCATATATCCATACATACATCATCTTCTACATGCTTTTAGTTTAACGGGTATTTCCATTTTTCTCCGCCCTAAACATAGTATAATATTGCCATCAATTTGTTGGTTGTGTGGGTACATCTCACCATTTTTGGGGATATTTCATGGAGGTATGAAAATATAGAAATGACCAGTTTCTGGGCATGCTGGGTAAATTTAAAAGCAGCCATTTTTGATTTTTAGGTATGATAAATGGTCAACTGTGTGCCTTATTCTCTATAAAGGCACTCTCATTTGATAAGATTTATTCCGGCAAATTTCAATGCAGCCATTTTTGAGGCAGGATAAATTGTTCACCATGTGCCATTTCTCTGCTGATTCAAGCCCTCGTTTATTAAGATTTATTCTGACAAGTAAAATGTTACATTAAGCTATTCAAGGAAGTGTTTCAATCCCTTTAAGATTGATAGATACCGGAATGAGAAAGGAAGCAAAGGTTACAGTGATTGGATTAGGTCTTCAATGATTAATGATTTCAATTGTCAGTAATGGTCTTAAGCTAATAGCCTATCAGAGATTCCCTCTCACAAATGGTCGTTATTATTCAAATTATGTGACATTAATTTGCATATTAGCTTATCTTGTCCCTTGAGAGGAGTTCTACAGTACACTGACCTTGATCTAAAAACATTTTTTGCAGAATCAAGGACAGAATAATTTTGCTATAAAGTAGAATAAAAATTCTTAATATGGTCATGGTGCTATAACATGGCAATTCTTTATTTGATAATAAAAGAGACGGCCTTGCAATTTGTAAGGCTTTTCTAGCGGTGTCCTTCACGCTCACTGCTCAAGTCACTGAGTTAATCAGACCAACCAAGATTACATGGTAATTGTCTCTACACGAGTCACTGTTAAATAGCTTCTTTTACAATAAAATGGGTTTAGCTACAGTTTCTTTACCATGCTAATATACAAAATGAATATTTCTTCATATGAGTTTATTTCATTTATTACACTCATAATTTAAATCAAACAGTTATTTGCCTAGGTTATTTGATCATTAAGAAATATTAAATTGTTATCTATCTTATTACTTGCTGCGTTGATGAAAAATATTACATACATATTTATGGAACTATATATAATTTTGTTCTTATTAGTTTTGCTTTAACTATGTGTATTACTGTTTAAATAGTTTGCTACATTCAGGTACAGCCCCGGACCAATGCACATGTAGTTCCTGTGAGCCCCCCCCCCCCCCCCATGAGAGGAGACTTTTAGTCTACATGTGCTCCAATGAAAGTTATCACGCCTTAGCGCCATATCACTATCCCATCATCACATTGCTAAATCTGGCCTTAAAATTGAATATCTGTTAAACAGAAGTAAATCCTCGTGCAAAATGCACCACAAAATTTCCAACTTCATTTACAGTTAAGGGGAGGCATCAAAAGTTCAATGTCTGATAGGAAACTAAATAAATCTAGTTTTGAGTTGGACCCCCCCCCCCCCCTCCCCCTCAAAACTTAATACAATGAAAGTTGATCGGGGACTTTCACATGTTTTTGCGACTCAATTTGGACTTTTATGGGGGTAGTACTAGAACTTATTCATGATTCTTAAAACATATGCCAACAACAATAGGCATAATATTCCATGTTGCATGCATATTTGTGAAGAAGGCATCTGGTAAAGTCTTTATTTTTAAACCATTCCAAGGCATTTCGAGTCGAAATTCCCAAAAATTCAAATGTTGAAATTTGTTGGATAGCAAACTGAAATAGCTTTGACCCCCTCCCCCAAACTAGATTTATTTAGTTTTCTATCAGACATTGATCTTTTGATGCCTCCCCTAAGTGTGAAAATTTATCAGTAGCAGTACACTATATATTAACGAACACTAATACTGACACTAGGCTTCATTTCCAACCTTCCTTTGAGACCTTGCCTATCATACAACTCAAAATGAGGGCTTAGTATGAGAGAACTACCAAACCTCATCTAATTAGTCTCGATATTGTAATGTTACAGGCTTTGACTGGAACCTGGTCTTCAAGTGGGACTACATGAATGCTGATGAGAGAGCAGCCAGAAGTAACGACCCCATAGGACCTATAAAGTAAGAAGCTTGTCTTTGAGAGGTTTCTTTGACAAACATATGACATACAGATATCTGAAGTTTTATTGGTTCAATCACAGTGGTCAGTCACAGTCTTTTGACCAATCAGATTGCAGATTAAGTAACGGATGAATCCCAAGTGAGCAAGTTTTATTGAATTTTTGAATGGCCTATGGATATGTCTACTGAGATTACACTTAGAATCATCCAGAAATTGAATTAAATCGCAGCTACAGGGGTTCTATGCATTTTGAATCATGGCCCACTAGAGCCTAATGTGCTTATGAAAGTTTAATGGGGCTATATGTGGCTCAGCATCCCAGGGCAGCATGGCTTTATTAGATATAGACCACGACATTTCATTTAGATAAATCCCTTAGACACCAATACACCATAGTAATAATTTCCAAATGTAAACCTGACAATCTAGTCTAAGGCATCTTATCTGAACGGAAATCCCATGAAAAAACAGTCATTGTCATGGTGATCATGCATATTGTGACTGGACCATATTGCCCATTTTACCACCCCCACCCCTTTTCAAGATCACAAAAAGGTCAAAAGGTCTTTTTTCAAATTGACCGATTTTTTCAAAATTATCTACAAGTTATCAGAAGGTCAAATCTGACTCTAGATTTGAGATTTGACCTTTAATGCCCTTCTCAATGTCAAAATGTTTGTTTTTTCAACTTTCTTGAAATTGACCAATTTTTTCAGAATCATCTACAAGTTCTACAAAGTTCAAATCTGACTATAGATTTGACCTTCAATTGCATTTTCAAGGTCAAAAAAGATTTGACCTTTAATGACCTTCTCAAGGTCAAAAAGGTTTTTTTTCATCTTGCTTCAAATTGACCAATTTTTTTTCAAAATCACCTACAAGTTCTCAGAAGTTTAAAACTGACTTTAGATCTGAGATTTCACCTTCAATAATCTTCTCAGGGTAAAAAAAGGTATTTTTCATCTTGCTTCAAATTGCCCAATTTTTTTTTTAAATCATGTACAAGTTCTCAAAAATTCAAATCTGACTTAATATTGAACTCACAATAATGTGAGCAACTAGGCTGTGACATTTTGTCATCTTAATGCCTTGTTTGATATTTGAATGAACTAACTCCTTTTCTGTCATATCTATACAATTAAAGTGTTGACTACATGCCTCTTTACTTTATTCCTTGCTGATTCCACTCTTTTGTGATCTATTTTGGTTAAAAAAACATGAATTCATACAAAATTTAAATTTTCATTATTCTACTCAAGAGGCTCCTTTAACATGATATGCTAACATTATTCCAGTTTTTGATATTAACTTTGAGCTGTAAATATGAATTATGTATGTTTATTTGATAGAATATCAGATAAAGCCGAATAGGGATGTATTTGTGGAGTTGCTGGTACAGTTATATGTCCATAAAAGTAATATATATCTGTATATACAGGGTGATCACTAAGTTCTGGGAATTGGTCTGTCATTTCAATATTTTTCAACCAATTCAGTTGAAACTTCCAACAAATGTACATTGTATAATTCTGAATTGACAGACAATGTTTCATATACATATCACTTTTACAATTTATTTTATTGTAATTTTAAAAAAAGTAAAAGTGGTCCACGGGTCAGCAAATTTCGACTGACGTTAATTTGAAAATATCCTGCTAAAACATATTCACCTTTCCTAGATAGTTGGTTCAAACTTATTGTACTAGAGGCAGAACAAAACTCTTGAAGTCATTTATTCAGAACTACTCTTCATTGCTTGGAGGATCATTTCATTTATAATGATTTCCATAGGCCTGGGCGCCCATGCATCATTGTCAAACCTAGTCCTTAAATTCGCTTTCCAGTCCTCCCTTTGGTATCCCATGAAAATCTGCTCAAGCTGTTGAGATCAGTCCTTCATCGGAACCAAACTTATGATGATCTCTCATATGATGCTTCAACAGTCAAATTTAGTGAACCTAATGGTGGTTCACCTGGTGAACATTATATGGTGAATATGGGGCATGAACAACTTGTGTGAACCCTAACTCTTCAAGAGTAGTATGGGCAATTTGAGGAGTGGGAAGAAGCATAGTAATAATGGAAGATAACTCCCCGCTATTTTGAGTCATGATTGTGACTTTTGAGAGTCTGACCAATAATAAAAAAAATTGAGCAAAGTACACTCTTATATCACAATAAAGATGTTACTTTTGAAACTAAAGTTAAAAATATTTAAAAACATAAAAAATCACAGAAATTTGTCCACCAAATAGGTAATAATTAACCATGCTTTTGGATCTAGTAAAATAAAAATGAATTCGAGTTTTGCTTGACCCGCTACGCCATTGGTCATGTTGCCGTAGTAACAATAACTATCCATTGTGACATCATATGACAGTGAGACTGTTTTATCCAACCCAAAATTATATTCTCCATTTACCTTGAAAATTTCAAGTAGATTGGTTGAAAAATAATGAAATGACAGATAAATTCCCAGAACTTAGTGATCACCCTGTATATATTTAGCACCCTTGATTAGATATGTATTTATGAATAATGGTATTCAAATCAATAATTCAACATACTCGCACATGTATTTCTGAATAATGGTATTCAAACCAATAATTTCAACTTCATAAATTCATAGTCCCTACTGCATTTGTTGAAAATAAATCAAGCCTAACTAGATTGACATATATGTTTTATTGTTCAAGTTAGCTAGTTTTGAGACTAAAAAGTAATAGTAATTGTTTGGTATAATGTAATGCAAATCATAGTAATTAATTATTCTTATGTTGACTTTTATCTGCCTATAAATCACAACCTCACTAAACTTTGAAAAATGCATAGTAGTTTATTTATTATTTGTTTATTTATTTATACACCTTTTATGATAATACACCTAAAAAGGTGTTTCATGAACGATATATGTGACAATACAATCCATCTTGTATCAAGCTCCTGTACCCACCCCCCCCCCTTATTACCCCCTGAAGCGTTTGCGGTAGCCACTTTAACTTCTGAGTCCTAAGTTCATTGGCTTATTGCGGGACTAAACCCAAAGAAATATATTTCAATATACAACTTTCCTAAGTGTGATCCTCATGTCTATTTGTCTTTGTTTCAGGACTCCAATGATAGCTGGTGGTTTATTCTCAATAGATCGTAAACGATTTGAAGTGATAGGAAAATATGATATGATGATGGATGTATGGGGAGGGGAAAATTTAGGTAGGTCGATAATTGTTACTATTTCAAACATGTGATACATGTTAAATGTTTTAGATAACAAATCTTTCATTATTTATTTTATCCTTTATTCTCATTTAACATAGTAAACATAATATGTACCATGATTTGATGCTATAATGTTATTTATAAATTCAGAGCTTAAGCTTGCAGCCATAGAACTGCATTTTCACAATGGGGATAAATTCTAAATATGATATGTTGTATTTCATCAGTATATGACAACTGTAAACTAAACTGGATGTTAGCGTTGATCAAACATTGGCAAAATTATTCTCAATATTGAATGTCCAAATTGGTTTTTCTGCCTCCTGAATCTTGTTAGCTGTATCAGCTTGGCCATTAATCATGTATGACATGTTATATGTTTGCTCCTGAAGTAAATTAATTTAGGAAAATAACTTATTATACACGTCCTCAGAGATCTGCTTTGATCTGAAGATGTTCGTGAGTGTTCTAAGTGAACTGACGCAAGACAACCACTTGTATCGCAGTTCACTTGTCAAACATTATTTTCACATGTCACCGATTTGAGGAATTATTACAATTTAGTTTGATTTATCTTTAGCAAATGAGGACTTTTATTATCTTTTCTTTGAAATAAAATTGTGTTTATTGATTTCTTTTTTTTAGTTAGAATGTCTTAATTTCAATATTATCTGAGAAGGTGTCTAAAAATGAAAATGTTCTGAACCATTCTAATTCCTTTAATAAACTCAACCACCTAATATATCGTAAAGGTATTATTTATAGCCTTCATTGGATAGCGATAGAAATCGAGTCAAATGATCTAATAATGAATCCCTAATATATATTTCAACTTCACTTCTTTGATCAGACATTCAGCTCTAATATAAAACTTATAAAATGATGAATTGCATGTTTCCTTGTAAGAACAGAAGGAACATACATTCGTTAGTTACAATATAAATCTCAATTAAACACCATTTTATCAGAGTGTTATTGATGTATTTAAGACAAGCAAGATATTTCGTAATAAATAACCTATTATATAGACTTCGAGAGGGAAATTGTTTCTATTTGATACTTATCAGATAAGAGAATTTTCTGATGGGTTGATGAGAGATCTATGTTCAAGAAATATCATGTTTGTTTTAATTGAAACTGGTCAGTTTGAAATTAATCCTATATTTTCAAGCTTAAATATTCAAGCTTAATTCAGCAGTAAATCATATTGATCTAGTGGGATTAATTAAAAATGTATATTAATCTGAGGATAAACAATAAAGGAAACATAAATTGGCTGTATATGGCTTATGTATGTGTGTATTGCATGTGGTTTGAACATGAAAGAAGATGTTTTTTGATCTTTTTAAAGTATGCCTTTATCATATTGAAATTAAATTTTTTATTGAAGAGTATATCATCTTTTCATATTTGTTCCTCTTGTAGAATTATGCAAAATGAGGAATCTTCGGAAATAATTACGCTAATGATCTAAGGAAATATATTTTGCCCATAATGATTTGCTCCATGGAGTTGCCATTTTCTAGTTTACAATTTGCAACTTTTGAAATCCTTCAGAGATTTCTCTACGCAATTGGATGTGCCATGGGGATATAATAACAGATCAATGTAGCCGTGTGGGGCATGTCTATCGCAAAGACTGGGGGCCCATGTCCTGGCCAGGGTCAGATGGCAGGGAGTCAGGGGCGGGGAGCATTTTTGCCAGGTAACATAGCAACCTTGGCTACCATGACAACACGATTTCTCAAATGGAGATAACCTTACATATATAAGATCACTTGTGTCAGTAACCAAGGATAGTGTTCAAATACACAAATTTTTTCTCTGTTGTGAAATGGATAGCTGTCATATAGAGGGTGGCTCATTTTGGTTTGACTTTTCAAGCTTAAAGAAAGTGACAGCCAATTTGCCAAAAACACATCCTTCATTTTGCTGTCACTCTTTTTAAGCTTATTACAGTTAAGACAGAATGAAAATGTTGATCTTTGGTTCACCCTGTATATGAGGAATGTGGGATTACAAGGAATATGGGTTGCTTTCATTGTTTGGTTTTATTTGGCTTTAGTGTATTGTCCAAGCAACAGTCTGTTTCCGTATCTGTCTATATCAGCTCTAAAATCCATACGACTGGCAATTTGATTCAAATGAAAATGTTTCAGTTCAATTGTTTGTTTCAATCAGCAATCTTAAATCAATATGAAGTCAATTTTCAAGATTGTGATGAGACCCGGCAACTATGCTCCAGCCTTTAACAGCATCCCCTGTCCTTCATATTTCAAGAAAAACATTGCACTCATTCATATTTAAAAAATTTGTTATTGGTACATTGTGTTCACTTGGCACACATGAAAATTTAGTAAGATTCGTCTACGATTAATCATTTTAAACCAAACAGAAATTTTTAAATGCCACTCATGTGTTGTATTTTCTCATACCTGAATTCCAAATTCTGAGGTTTCATATATTTTTAGAGATCAGCTTTAGGAGCTGGTTATGTGGGGGCTCCATGGAGCTGATTAAGTGCAGTCGGGTTGGTCACGTTTTCAGAAGAGAGGCTCCATATATTTTGAATGTTAAAATTGGTGATGCAACAACTAATATCTTTCAGAGGTAATCAAGCAAATAACATGGGAACACATACTACAGGGTGACACAAAAAAACAGCTACCAATTTTGGAATATGTTTCTTAATAATAAGTCAATCTTCAAGAATTTTTTTGTGTAGATAACATGTTCAATGCATGAAAGATTCTTGTAATTGAGTAGTGTCAACACCTTAAAGATTTAGTATTATATTATTTTCTGCCGAGGTATGCTCTCTGGGAAATCATCAAAAATGTTCAATAATACAATTTTCTGAAATTAGGATTTTTTTCTTAGCCATTATTTGAGTCATTTAGGTTTATGGATTGCTTAGACATATATTATCAATGATATGTCATATCTACTCATTTTTTAAGTAATTTTGTCTCAGGTATTTTAAGAAAGACAGCTTTTCTAACTTACATTTCTGAGTGGTTTAGTGAGTATGCCTCCCCAGTAAACAAGGAATCTCTAAACTTCAAAGTTATTGATGCTATGCAAGCATGCCAATCTTTCATGCACAGAACACTCTATCTTCACATAACAGATCATGAAGATTCCTTAATTATTGAATAGGTTATTCCAAAATTAGTGAGTGACTTTTTTTGTGTCACCCTGTAGCAATCAGAAGAAATGGAATTAGAAGTCATGGAGTTTGAATTGGTTTGGGATGTTTCATCTCAGAAATGTTTCAGTTGGGAAAAAGCATTTTTATTAAGAATCCCATTAATACCTCCTAGGATAAGGCTCGTGCCCTCAGCATGAACAATTTAATAGCTTTTTGACAGATAATTATTAAATAAGGAAAAACATTCAAACTATATGTCCTTGTGGGATAGTAAATGATACAAAGGGATTTCAACCAGAGAGATAAACACACTCTTAAAGGGTGACGCATATCGTTAAGCAAATCGAACGCTCGTTTCTGGTGTTGCTCACCGTTTAGTATAAAAGGCCCGATCCCGGAATAATACTCAAGGGTTCACAGGTTCGATGTCGTTGTGTCAACACCTCTAACTGTTATATAGCATAAGTATATTATAGATCGTCACACATTTATAAAAGGGTGATTTTTATTTTGACAAATCAATTCCACATTTATGGGTGAAGTTTCAGGATCTTCTATTTGTGTATAATAAGGAAAAATTGGCATCTAAATTTCCCCATAACGTAATAGCACACAGCTTGGCATATGAAATATCCTACAAATGAAACAAAGCAGTTCTAATACAATAATTTATATTGGCTGTTGTACATGTATTCTTTGAACGCAATCACTCTATGGATAACGTTTTCAAAATCATTATAAACGGATTACTTTATCTCAAAGACAATTTCTATAAACTGGATTTTACAGAACTCCCCTTATTTCTTAAAAATGGACTAATCCAGTTGATTCGCCTGGAGCCGCCATATTGTTTTTATACGGGATGCTTATCGGAACCCTTTAAAGATATTCATTTGGCAGAACAACATTATATGAATCAATGTGGAAACTTGATAAAAGGGATCGCTTGAACTTTTTAAACAAACTAACAAGAGATCATAATAATTGAATTTTGCATGTAGGAATTTAAATAACTAAAATGTTATTTTGTACTGTGGTATTAGATAACTGAACCCAGTGCTCTTAATTCTTCATATTCACTTTGCATATTTCTGGGTACCATTAATTCTAGGACTTTATTATGTCACCACCAGAAGTGTTATAGTCTTTAACTTTTTTGTGGATGGTGTTTGGTGGTTGGCAGTTGGTGTTTGGTGGTCAGCATTCAACATCTGTAATAAATGGCAGGTGGTGACATTTTGCATGTTGATGCCTTGTTTTTTAGAATTCAGTTTAAGGACCTGGTTATGTGGGGGCTCCATGGAGCTACTAAAGTGCAGTCGGGTTGGTCACGTTTTCAGAAAACAAGCTCCATATAATTTTGATGTAAAGAAGGGTGAATCAATGAGTAAAGTCTTTCAAAGGTATTAAAACTGAAAAATTGTAACTCTTGAGAAGTGTTTTGTGAAGAACAGATTCGAGGTAGTGATACACCAGGGAAAAGACTGCTCCATGCTGTATGGACATTTAAGAGAGACAATATTCTTTCTGGTTGTATAACTACCTTAACCTCAGATATGTATTTCTTCTACTCCTTTCAAAATCTATATACATGTGATAAACACTGCTCATCAGTATGAAGTGTTGAAGTCAATATGTATATTAACAGGGTCCAGAAGAAATATATGACATGTATCTGTGGTTTTGTTTGCTGTTTTTCATCCCAACACTTTCTTGATTTCTGTTTTAGTTGGGTTAATACCTTTCTATTCAAGATCCCATTAATACCCCCAAATACTGATTTTTTGTTCTCAGCAATTACAATTTGATAGCTTTTTGACAGATCAAACTTGTTAATATTTTT